AATATTTTACAGTGAGTTTTAATGAACAAGAAGGCAGGAAATGCAGAGAAAAAGCAGTCTCTCAGATGTATTTTCTTCTGCAGTATGATTACGAAACATGTGTTTTCTTTCAAGACTCCAGAGGAAGTGGAGCATTTCTGTTTTCACTTCTTGTGTCTTTGACCCCCTGAGTGCAAGAATTCATTTTTTAACATTGTGATTGAAATTTCAATTGCATTTCCAGATTATTAAACAGGAAACATGGCTTGTAGGTTGTATTAGCATGATATAATCTTGTTTAGGTAAAGAGGTGCGACTGGATGTAAACATCTTTCTCTGACTAATGAAGATTGTTTTAAAACTCACAATGGGAAAGAGAGCTAAAGCCCAGCACACAGAAGCTGTCCATATGAGGGGCTGAGGACTATATTATATTGCTAAGAATTGGAATCAGCAGTTGTGCCTCAAGAGCAGTTACATGAACATAAGTCTCCATAGTGGTAGAAAAAGAAAACAAGAACAGAGAATAACATTTCCTCCAGATGGAGCTGAGCTAGGTGCACAGACAAGAAGATTCCCCCATATCTGCACCTGCAGCAGAAGGAACCCAACAAGGGCCATTCTGAGAGGAGACCCCTCCTTGTATTAATTCAGCCTTCTGAATATGTAAGGAAATGTGGAGTCTGACTGCCTTTAAAAGGGTGAGACTATCTGAAGGACTTCTGAGTTTGCTTTCCATCTTGGTTTAAAAAGGGATGGCCAAATTGCAAAAGATGTAGCAAACCTTCTTACTGAATGTCACTATGAAGTCAGAAGCAAGGGAAAACAGGAGCAGTGAGTTTTGACTTTCTTTAAGATCAGTCTTCTTGTAAGAAAAGCAACTTGGGATGGAATGAATGGAATGACATGAAGAGAAAGACAGCAGAGCCTGAGTTAGCAGTCTTACTTTGCCCCACTTTTCTAAGATGATGAACAGAGAGTTCTGAAGCCATCAGGAACGAGCTAACACATTTTCACCTGTGGTGAAGTTTTTGTAGTATACACCTCTTGGAAGGGCACTGGCTAAAATCAAACATGGAGGAAGAAGACTTCCCAATATATCATTCATTAGCAATCCCCTTCAGCACTCCAGAAACCATGAACATCTAGTCCTGGTTGCCTTGCTAGGAGTCCATACTCAGCAATCAAGGCAATGCACACCAAATGTTGTACTGCATGCTTCCAACCAACAAGGTGCTCACAATATAGCCAATCTGATTAAAATGTACAAACACAATTAATAAGATGCTTTCAAGAAATAAGAGTCTGCTAAGTCAAGCTCTACTATCAGACAATCTGTAAAGAGTAAAACTAATTAAAAGAAAATTTCTTTGCCAAAAATGAAAACATGTGGTCTCTTTTGCAGGCAGTTTTCAAATTTTAAAGTAGCTGACCATCATTGTTAATACTGTTCTAAATGCTGTCCATCTTCTCTGTCTTCAGGGGCCATTGTACTTGTTGTCATTGCTGTTGTTGGGATGAGCCTTTCAGCTTTACAGGAGAAGAGCACTAGACTTTACATCCTACTTCAATTTATACTGAAAAGAGTTTCCAATTAGTGGTCAGTCAGTTCAGTGACCAAAACAGACAAATAAGCAGTTTTGATTATATGTGTTTGGTAGCTCTCATACATAAATGTTATCAAGTTCAGTTCTCTGTGGTGTATCAGGAATCTAAACAGGCCTCTAAGTGATTCTTTGTGTGAGATATAAGTGAAAAGACACAGAAAGGAAGCACAATTCCTACTGTCTAATATTTATTACCCGAGATTGCTTTGGAAGCTGAAAAAAAAACCCAAAAAAACCAAAACAGTTTCACTACAGACCAGCCAAATCACTTTTGCTTATAACATAAGTAACATTTGTATCCAGGTCTCCATAGATTAAATATTTCTTTTCCAGCCTGTGAGTTTTACCTGTCCAACCAAGTATTTATAGCTTGAAATTGCATTCACTCCTTTTGTCTTTATGAGATAAATCTTTACTGCACTCAAGCCCAAACAATTGATTGTTCAAACAGCTTTGATGCTGGCTTGTGCACAAGTCCAAATCTTTTGAGCCAACTGGCTCACCAGCTAGGGAGATTCTAGCTTTAGGTTTTGGTTAATTTGTTGGAAATATTTGTGGTTTTTTTTTTTCTTTTTCATCTCTTCCATTTACTTTGTCTCCCCTTTCCTACCCACTGCTCTTTTTTTCTTTTTCCTACCTTAGAACTCTCACTCTAATCCCAGACCACACAAAGTCTACATAGGTGGGAATTTTGTTTGTCTTCACAAATTCCTCTTGTTGCTATATTCTGCTTCCTGCAGACTTAATCACATACTTATGATATAGACAGGATTTAGGATAAGAACCAGCACTGAAATCAGCATGATGTCATATGTAATGAGATTTTAGTGTGTTAGCATTGAACTGTAGCCCTCAAAAGTTGAACGTTATTTTTCTGTGGTCCATTTCCTCCACACTGGTCAGGTGGCATGAAGTGCTGGGTCTGGATGTTCTTTGGAATTACATGCAGAGATGAACAGAAGATACTACTTCTAAGTGGACAGTGCATCGCAAGACAATGTAATATTTTACCATTGCTGTTGATGTTTACTCTGAACGTGTACAGAGGCTTCAGATTTCAAAATAAGTTGTGCAGTAAGTACAAGGAGGTGGACACATGCTACTAATGAATGGCACAGAGAAACAGGACTGAAATATAATTCTCATTGGAGAAAACAGCCTTGAAAAAATATTAGGACTATGACTAGTGGACAAAAGCCACAGATGCAAAACTAAGGCCAGCATTTTTTTCTTAACCTGGGACTTGGTGAAAAATAATTCTTACACCCCTCCCCCTTTTTTTTTAACATAGTTTAGAAATTTAACAGACATGTTTAAGTCAGATTTAAATATAAAATATTGCATCTCAAATATTTTAACTGTTTATACTGCAAAATAAATGCACTTCTTAAACTTTTTTCTTACTATATCATATTTAAATTATTAACATCAAAAAAATGCCCACTAGTTTTCCGTACTCATGCTTTTTTTAATTCAGCCACTTTTCTCATTTGTTAATAGCAGAAAACCACATCTTGGGCTAACATTTTGGTGCTACAATATGTAGCACAGGCAATTGTTAGTAACTGAAAAAAATGTAACTTCTGGAATCAGTAAATTAAACAGTGATCTTATGTGGACTTTCACTGAGTCCTTCAATACAACTAAGAGGATGACTGACACAGAATGCAGTGATAGATATTGTTACTACCCAATCTAAGTCACATACATGAGCAAGAGAAAAATTAATGGGGGGAAAAAAAGAAAAAAAAATCTATCCTACTACACGATGACTTTATCTGAAAGCCTAATTTCTTTAGCAATAATACAACCACCTAATAAATGTTGTCAGACATAATTAGAAAAAATATTGATAAATTTTCCCTTAGGTTTTATACCAAATTTCTTCTTTAAAACTTGAAACTGCAGACAGTTCATCAGCTGATACAAGTTGTCTGAGCTCCACTGAAAGCAATGCCAGTTTCTGTCATCAAAGGATCTGCCCCTTTTGTCTGCTAACTTTACAGATGTATTTCTATTTAATTTTTAATGCTAACATTTTAAAGAGATCCCATAGCTTTTTGCAGAGCAGTAGGACTAGTGAGGAACTCTTTAATGTAATCCAGAACAGTCCACAGCAAATGGCTTAGGAGGAATAAATTTACTACCATTTACTCTCCATCCTTGCACTTGGTCTAATAACGACATTACCACTCCCTGCAGCCTTGCCATGGCTTCTTAATGGCCTTTCAGAGAGACATTTGAAAGTGTTAAATGGTGAGATATCTCTAGAACTATTAAAAATCAGCTGAGAAAATGGTTATAAGAGTGTATAAACTACAAAAATAATGAAGGGGGTTTTTTATTATTGCTTTTATCTGTTTTGATATTATTTAAAAAAATTTTTTTTGGAGATGTTTTAATTACATTATACTCTACATTGAAGTTATGACCTGACTAAGTTTACTAGGTGGCATTCTAGAACCACATTTTTTTATAACCATTCTGTGACAAAGAAAAATGTATTAGAAAAGTAAGTACCAAACAAACTTTTCTGAAAGCATCTTACTTTTCATACAGTTCACTGGCCTGATTCTTCCTTTATTCATACTTACAACAACATAAATATTCGCATTTATTTACTCCTAGATTGAGATAAATTCACTGTTTTAAAATGACAAAAATATTCCAGATGTCACAAATGAGAAGAAAACAACATTTTTCTGAAGGGTCAACAGCAAAGAATGAAAGTGCTTAATTTGTTATTCTCTTTGCTGCTCACCCATATGGGCTTTTAACCTCCCTGCAGTAGCTGTTGCCTTCTCAGCAAATATGGGATGTAATTGGTAATCTTTACTTTAGACTGAATCTACCTAAAAAAGTTTGCCAAGAAAGAGGCTTTGCCACAAGTTTTTATCATTTAAGCACAGCCACAGGACATCAGTATTCTCAGTACTGATGCGGTCTGTAGATTATCCCCATTAATGCTGCATGCATTGATACATGTAATATTAACATTCTCTACACCAATACTACTAAGTAATTGACTTGCATGTCTGTACTGTTACAAAAGCTCACAATGCTATGGCCAAATTTAGCATGTATTTTTAAATAATATGACTGCTTGCATTCTAAATATCTGATTATCAGTATGGTTTTTACCTTCCTGGACATGTCACTGAGAGTGTTCTAAGAGGTAGCTTTGCAGTTTGAAGTTAAGTGATTTTGAATAGCAATGTATGCAAGCAAACAAAAGTGAAATATAAAACTTTCATACAGAGGTCTCCAAATCTCTACCACTCCAAAGTATCTTTTGAGTTTGATTTCTGACTTCTGACTATACTAAGCATTGATAATCTGAAGCCTTTGCACCATCAGTCAGGAGAGTTGACATTTGTACGAAGAAGGAAATAAATAGTAAATGGCTTTTTCCAGTTACATCAACACCTGGGTTCTTGTGTCAGGAAGCCGAAGTCCTACCAGACCTCCACATACTAGAACAGTAGAAGCAAGGAGAATAGGAATTGCTTTGGTGATACCAACAAGGGAACCAAATATCAAGTTTCCAAGTACAGCTGCTGCTTTGCATAGCGCGTTCAAAAAGCCAAAGCCTGTTGCCCTAGAAGAGAAAACAGAAGAAAGTTTAAAAAAATAGGTGAAAGAGTAAAGCCTTTGAGAAAAATCTTCAGTGGGAATAAGTCAGTATGGCCCTGATACCTTAAACAGAATTTATGCCAACAAGGATTCTGTGCTTGTCTTTATAACATGAAATCAAAGCTCAGCTGCTACAGCATTTTATTGAGGCAAATTCATTCTGCTGCCTCAGGGGCCAAAATGTGAAATGAATGACTGAATAGGTAACTTTACACCTCTACTGTAGAGCAAAGGACTTGTAAATGGAAATTCAGTAACACTTAAAATGCTGGATTGGGAGACAGGAGATGGGAAATCTTTTGCAAACTACTTGGTGATTTGGGAAAGAAGTCACCAGAATAAAAGGATGATCATCTTGGGCTACTGAATAGAAATGGATTTCTTACAGGTGGTATACATGTTCAACCAATGCTTTTTCAAAAGGCTAATGAGACTTCCAATAATAATGAATATTTGTCTCTTAGGGCCAAAGAGAACAGGGCACTCTCCCCCTCCCCACCTTGGTGTAGAAGAGATATCTAAGAAACTTTGGAAAAAAGGGAAAGAAAATAGACTGCCGACAGAAAGTATGACTGTGTAACTCACAGGGGCTTTTGCATTGCAGTGGTGTGATTTTAGTAGTCTGGATTAAGTATTTTAGATGTTTGGTAACCCATGCATAGATGTATTACACAAACTGCCATCATTCTATTAAATTGTGTTTTGACATGACTGTATGATTCATAGTTGCAGGAATAACCTTGTCCTACCAAAAGTGCCCTAACAAAAATATCTGTACGACAGTAGAATCTCTAACATTTCTCAAAGTTCTTAAAAGTGAAAGAGGGGACTATGCAGAGTTCACACTGTGCTCAAATAATAAGAATCAGGAGGATAGAAGCTTCCTTTCAGAACAAAGTGTTTCTTTTTTTGTTTATAGGAAATACTGCCATTAGAAGGAAAAAGCCCCCAGTCTAAACAGCAGGGATTAACAGAAATGCTAATGGTCTGAATGACTAAAAAGAGCCTTAGCTAATGTACTGAGGTGCATGTGAAGGAAAGGAAGAAGTCCTGCGCTCAGATGTAGCCTGAATTCCTAGGAAGTAAGTTTGAGAAACTTCCACTGGAGCTCCTAAAGAGCAGCCCAGAGAATTGCAGGCTTGATCCCAGCTGAGAGCAAGGATATAAACTCTCAATGTTCTTTGCAGAAGTATTTTTTTATTTTGGTATCAAGGAAGAAGAGATCCTCTCCCTCAAGCAACCAATGGACACGGCCGCAGCCCAGAGTGTCACTAGTTCATCTCTTCTGCAAATCTGGCTGCTGCATCTCAATAGCATTGATCAGTCAGGCCCTTCAGTGTCCTACATCCAACTCTTATACTGGGGGAGATGTAGAAACTTCTGTCTAGTATAGTTGACCAGGATATAGGTGGTTTCAGCACTGTCCACACCCTGACTTTCTGACATGCTGTGCTTCAGAATTATACCAGTCCTGGTATATTTGAGGATCTGCACCAGAAGAGTGATGAAGGTAGGTCTAGATCCTTCTGCTATATTTCTAAATTTCTGAGCTTGCTCTAAGAAGCAGAACTCTAGTTAACCCACAGAGTCAACTCCAGAATCTGAACAAGATTCAGAAGTGTGCTAATTTGAAGTAATGGTACTTGAACTGTCAAATTCTTAAATCAGTTAAAAGGATTATTTGCAGAACAGAATTAAGACATGGAACAGACTAGTTAATATACACTGAAAAAGTTTTTTCTTTTTCCAATTAATATTAAATATTAATCTGTCCATGGTTGCAGACCAAAGTCAAACGTCTTTGCTTAAAACATTATGTAAGTAAAATCAGAAGAGTTGATACTTACTGTTCCAGTGTCAGCTCTGTGTATTATATGCCTTTTCTGACCCCAGGACAAGACACAGGTTAGTCTCTTTTGCTGGGTGACTACTATCATAAGAAATTTATTATTAGTTTGGCTACATGTCTCTTGCAATTGGCAGCAGTGTTTTGGTCTCTTTAAAATACCAGAGTAATTATTCTTTTGCCTGAAATAATCATAATTGCTCTTTGTGCAAAACACGGCACCCATCCAGATATTGCATGACAATTAAGTATTAGCAATGTCTAAGGAAGGAGGTCATTCTGATGCCAGAGCAGAAATGACCCAGAAACACTGCGAAAAAAACAGAAGAGACTGAGATATGTTTCCTGAATGTTCAAAGCCCTTATGTGCTTTTTTTTTCCCCCCAATTTGATTAAACCTGCAGTACTCTTACAAACTACTTATCGCCAAGAAAAGCTAAACATGCACATCCTGGACATAACCATCTCCAAAGTGACATGCTCTGCTGTCCAACAGTGCAGACCAGTGAGGGCTGCCTGAAAGCAGAATGCTGAGGGCAGATAAGGAAACTTCGGAAGTGTTGCTTGTGAAGCTTTCTGACAGAGAAAAATTTGCTGCAGCTCCTTGAAAATGTTTTCCTTAGAGGAGAAATGAGAAGGTTAAAACTTGCCCATTTTAAGGAAGACTTTTGGAGGAATCAGTCCAAAGGAGGAGTGGGAGATGCACTGAAGGAAGCAGCAAAGAGCCACCCTACTGAAGTAATTTTTCAAAGCCTACGAGAAGATCAAATCTCTACCACAGAAACATCTGTGCTACAAGGGCAGATAAAATGGAACATCAGAAGACTGTCTGGAGGAAGCTGACCAGAACGGGGAGAAGGAAGGAGCTCTAGACTGATGCATCTTCTAGGGTAAACAAGAATGCAGAGGGGAAGGAGGAGCATGAAGAGGAAAGAATGTGGTAAAATAGACTTTATCGCAAACAGGTAGGAAGCGGTTAAAGGCAACACAGCCAGCCTGGAAAACAGAGTTTATGTGATAGGATAATAACAGGCTGCAACTATTTTGAACAAGTCAGGGGAAGAAGGAGAGGAAAAGAGTCAGAACTGTTCTAATTTTGGCCTCACTTACGCACAGAAAGTATTTCTAAAGTTATGGTGGTGACTGGTAGTGACCAGTGTCTGCACATGTAAATACAATTTCTTCAGCTTCCAGTACTGAAGTAAAACCAAACTTGCCCCCAAATAACAGTAACAGGAAAAAAACAGTGTTCACATAGAGAAAACAGACACTTAGTCATCAACAGCTTCAGTATATTCAGAAAGATACCAGAACTCCCCAAAGAATACATAGATATAGCTGAAGCAAATTCGGATAGATACAGGCAGGAAATCTTTGGAAAGGCAATAGCACAAAACATATGGGGATGCTTTACTTACATTCAGTGTTGTTTTATACTGCCTTATAAAGGTAAGCTGTTTCACAGATGCTATTTTCTTACATTAACTAGTTATAACAGGGGTCTGAACATAATTTTCTGAGCAATTTGGACCTTTTCTTTTTGTGTGCTGGGCTCTACAGATAGCACCTCCAGGGCTGCCACTGTGATCTAGATCTATTATAGATTATATACCCAAGATTGCCTTATTAAGGTTTAAAGTAATTTTGTAAAATAATATCTCTCATATCTGAGCAAAATTAAGGTAATTTGTTGGCACTGAAAAAACAGTTCTGCTTTGTAAAATTGAGTTATTACATTTTTCCAATTGCAAGGGGTCATTATTAGACTAATCCCATTAATGTTATCAAATTATTGTTTATTGTTTATTGGAGTAAGACAAAGTAAGCCCATTTTTATAGCCTCTGGCTGTCCTAATGATACAAAATGAACAACTCAGAAGTTCAGTCTTTTGATCTTTAAACAGTTTTCAGGCATATCCTTTTGCCCAAAATATGCACAAGATGAGCAGGAACAGGAAGATACAGGCTTAAGTAAAATGTTGTTGTGACCTGTACCTGAAAAGCATTGTTACTGTTCAACCTTCTGTCTTCATATCCTTCAATTTTAATGCTGTGTTTGAATGTGAATTTGTTGTGTACTAATAGTCAGAATGAAGTCATTGGGCAAACTGTTGAGCTCTAAGAATAGCAAATTCAAACTTGTTGGGTTTTGAACATCTTTCTTAGAACAGTGTTTGTGATTTAAATCAGCTAAAACCTGTATTAATTCATGCCTTTATAATTAATTCTTTACTGAAGCCAGGTGAGTAAAAATAGCAGGCAATAAATACACTGCAATTCACATACATATATATGAGTGTAATCTTCTCTTGCAGCACTAGTACAGCCTTTGCTACAGTGTTCAGGAAAGTGCTAGTGTGTACGGAAAGTCTGCAAATGATCAAAGATGTGTGATGTGTCATCTCAGCATCATGAATGAATTAAGTGAAAAATTCCAAAGGCATAAGGCCATTACTATATACACCAATTTCCATTATGTTGATCAGTTACTGGCAAAGCACTGGCACAAAAATGTCTTTTTGACTGCATGAGCAATCCTTATTACTGGTCAAGGGAGTTCAGCAGCAAGAATCACTTGTCCAGCTAGAGCATGCAGATAAATCCTTCAGGCCCATCAGTAAGATAATGATGGTGAATCAATTTGGGATTGCCTTAAGAAAAAAAGTTACAGATTTTAGTATTGATAGGAGAAAAATGCCAAAAGTCCTATAAAAGTGTCAAGTCTGAGAGAAAGCCGGATGTTAGAGAAAAGGAATTTTCCTCAATGCATTTCACTTCTCTTGCTGGGAAAGCTGCTACAAAGAAAAACACTTAGCTTCCTTTCACCCAAGCCCAGCATAAAAATGGCAAGAATCCAAACAGTTAAAAATAGAGGGATTATCCAAGCCTTTAGATTAAAAGAGCTTGTTTCCTGGTTGCCACATATGCTCCTTCTTAAACCAGGTGCTTATATTCCTACATAAAATACTTCAGGCCCACTTTTCCCTTGCCGGCCCACTTTTCCTTTGCTGATAGTCAGAGCACCAAAAAACTTTATTGTCCTGCAGTGGAGTGCTACTAAATGTGTAGCACAGATTTTTTTGTAACCTTGCCAAAGCTAGTGCTGGGCCTGTCCAGCACTTTAAAAAACCTCTGAATATCACTTCTGTGCATGTTGATAATATGCAAAGGCTATGAAAACAGAGTTTCTGAATGTACTATGAACACTTTTCTAACGTCCAGACCTTTTAAAAAATGAGTAAAAAGATGCATATCATAGCCTGGCCAATTACAGCATTCAGTGTGCAAGTAAAACTGTGGAATTCGCCTTCCTGTCTTGGACTACTGCCTAAGTTATTGCATAGGTTCGGCATGTCACGCCTTAAAAACATTAACATGAAATTTCAGCAAAATGCTGTTGAACCACATCCACGGGATGGCAGTAGAAAATAGCTATCAGGACATCTACTGTAAGTTCATGACTGCTGTTATGACTCAAAAGAATGGAAAACTTCTCTTCTGACAGCTGCAACAATAAAAAGTTGGACTTAGGATACCCTGTGAGTAATGTTTATTACTCTGGGGATAGATTATCAGGGCTCAAGAAGAAAAGAAAAAGATAAATATAATGAACTGAAGATAGGTGACTTAATTCTTAATTATGACCAAACACTTATGAACTTATTTCTCAGGTATTAAAAAAAAGGCAAAACAGGATGACTTCATTTTATAGCACACCTTGAATTCTAAATATTCCTCACAAGATTCAAACCCAGATGTCTGGCAGCTGTAGTAAGACTGAAGAATTGTTCGTTATCTGATGCAATCTGACCTTGATTTATTCTGTGGGAGATGACCTATTTCTATTCCACTTTCTGTTTGGGTTTGGCTTATTTGTTGTGTCCACTCCTTGACAAGAGTCTTGGCTTATAAAGTTGGTGCTTCCTAAGTTAGTTCACAAGAAGGTATTTATCATTTGCGTGAAAGTAACAATTGCCTTTTAAAGTCATAAAAGTGTTCTAAATGTTACTCCTTCAGAGAATTTTAACTCTCTTCCATTCATACTTATATTACAGACAGAGCTAGGAAATGGCAATGTTATTGCAAGCCCCTTGGGCACACACATTACAACACAAGCCATAATTACCTCATCGCACAATATTTTTTTTCCGCATCACTCTGCCAATGCACAGAACAAAGAGAGCTTGAGGGGTAAAACATAAGTGTAGTGAAGAAAACTTGGTTTCCCCTCATCTACTGCAGAAGTTGGAAGGTGCACTGTGAATAAGGCTGGGGACTGCAAGATGGGAAAGCAGTCCTGTGGTTACGGTAGTTGAGTGCTGTCAGGAGAAAGGAAATAATCCATGCCCCTGCCACAGATTTTGTATACCATGCAAGCAAGTCACTTAAAGCTAACTAAATGGTCATTAAGTATGCATTTCACATTTTCTGGGTGCTTGGCTTAGCACCTTCAGGTTTGTGTTGCTGAAGTGCTGAACACTTACAGCTGCAGTGGAAGTTATGCTTTCAACCCATTCCCTCTTCTAAAATGCTCAGTGACTGGGATTATTGCTACCACACATGTCAAATTTGGCACCTAAACTCAGTTTTAACAATATCTTTTTCCTCTGTGCCTCAATTTCTACATTACCCCCTTTCAAAGCAGTGTTTGGAAAATATGGAAAGCTTGTGAAAAAGTAGGCAGGCACTCTAGGAGCACCCAAAAAAGTTTGTAAGATGTTTAATATATCTCCTTCAGAGCAGAGCTTCCATGGCTATGGAATAGTTTGGTTTAGTCCTCAAGAGGGTCATGTCCAATCAAAGACTTTTCAGAACCCACTGACTGCTGAGCAGTCCAGAATAGCACAGGCCATTAAGAAGATAAAGGCAAAAGACGGGAGAAAAGATGAGGCAAAAGATGAGTTAATACAAGTTTTTTACCTTGTGAAGCTGGATGAACTAACTAACTTACTGGAAATCAGCTAGTTTATAGCTAGTCATCATGAGTGTCCTTTAAAATTTTTGCATTGAAAAGTAAAAAAAAAAAAATTATCAAATGATTATTTGCTACCACTATGTGTGTCATCTGGAAGACAGAGACCTACCTATGGCTAGCAGTAGTAACATATCTTCACCTTTTAACACAACTTTGTTCATGTACCTGAGGACCATTTGAAGTCTATACAGTCTCTAACGTCTCTTACTTTAGCAGTTGTGCAAATCATCTGGGATTTTATAAAGAATATGCAGGTAAAAACAATGCTACAATGGCATAAAATTTGGAAGTAGTCATCAAAAATTTATGACAAACTACTTAATTACCTCTAATTCAGGCATTAGTAAATTAAAATGTAAATAGGTAGATGAATGCGAATGCATACAGAATCCAAATTTGTTAAGATTTTGAAGCAACCTTAACTTTGCCCTGCAGGCAGCTGATGAAGAGGAAACAGAATTGTGCCATGTATCATATACGCTGCACATTTCGAAATTGTTCACCACGCCCCTACCTGGCAAAAGGCCAGTATGATCCCTAAATAACCTGGAGTACGATTTATGAAACACCTTTTGTACTACCCTGCATGACACTGGCAAAGCCCCAGCAGTCTGGCAACAAGTTGTGCAGGAGGAAAAGGAGGGGCTGCCCAGCCTGGTCTCTTGTGCACTGGCCTCCTTCCACACACTTTTCTTCCAGCCCAACCTCCAGCTGCAATTTGCTGGTTGGGAGTACATATTGGAATAATAAAACAGTGACAGAGTGAGCAAAGTTGTTGTGCCCTGAATGCCTTTTGAGAGAAAACTGGAAGCCAGTTTCAGGACCAGATTCACTCTGTATTGCAGCTTTAAAGTGAAAGAGGACATCATCTTAAGCATGAAGGACCTCGTATGCCAAAACAGATCAGGCAGCTTCATGTACCATATATGCCTGGAAAGGCTGGTCAGCCCTACAGCCCTACAGCCACTTGCAGAACCTGGATATTCCTGGCAAACTGTGGCAAGTCGTGCCAGGCTATGGAGATCAGAGGGGTCTTAGAAGGAAAGACAGGACCATCAGAGGTGGGCAATGGTGGCTGTTAAACTGTAGCTTGTCTGGATAAAAAAAAAAAAGTCATGGAAAAAAATAGTGGGAAACAAGTTATTTGAGTCCCTGCAGATATTAGTTTTCAAATAGTTTTATGAAACATGAAGAAGTTTTGCCCCAGTCTAAAAAAAAAGTGACTAGGAAGTGACTTCTAGAATTGCTCATTTCCTTATAACCCAGCTGGCAATAACTGGCAGCGATCGTTCCATTGCTTTTGAAACTTTGAGGGAAAAAAAACTTATCTGCACTACCTATCAGCAATGTCTTTCCTGGCACAGGTAGTTTCAGCCTATCAGCCTTTTAATATCAATAATACAAGGTGGTAAGTTTTCTATCTGAGTTGTTGCAAAAAACCCCAGCAACCCAGTTAAAAGTAAATTTCTGAGTTGGAATTCTAGACAGCTATTATTGCACACATAAGCTTTTTAAAAGAGCAAAACGGGGAATAATTTGCTACAACCCCAAAGGTAGCAGAAACTATTAAAAACAACTATCAGCTACAAATACAGATGCTCTAAAACAGGTGTCAGTTACATTCCTTTTATCATTCTGAGTAATTATGATCATTTTGGTCCCATTAACTTCAATGGCTTTTCCAATTATTTTTCTTTACTTCATTTTAAGAAAATATCTGTGGCTGCTACATTCAGGAATAGCAAAAAGATAGCTATTTCTGAAGGATATTTATTAGAATTATATCATAGAGAGGTTTGGATGATGGAATAATTCTTGCCAGAAGAGCAATTTTCTGAAGTGTAATAAAAACAGAAGTGCTTAATAGTAAAGCTTAGTGCTTTGGATTCATAAATAGCCCAGCATAGTTATTTGATACAACTACAACAATGGACATCAATTTCTTGGGTGAAGAAACATATATTTTTAAAATGCCAATGAAAAGAAAACAGAGAAGCCAGTCTACAGTCTTCCTCTCCTGATGGACAACGCCAAAGCCAGTTGCACCTCTGTCCAAAAACTTAGAATTGCCACCAAGGTATCACGCATTTATAAACTGGAAATGTTTTTCACCATATTGAAACTTCTAGTGAATGACATAATGAATAGCACCGTGACAGGAGAAAGGACATACTGTCCTTTGGCAGGAATCTGGGCAATTTTACATAAAATTTCTTTGATGAGGGGAGGGAGGAGAAATGTCCTGGTCTATTCAAGAAAATGCATCTTTTACATTTTTACACTTAACATACAACAGCATATGACTCGACTGTTCTTCCACTTTCTGTCCATTAGGTAACATAAGATCAGCATTAAAAAGTACCCTGTATCTGAAAAAAACCCACCATGTTGTCTGGCAGCTATGCTTGCAGGACACAAAAACTGTCCTGAGCTTTCCTGCAAGAGCCATGAAGAGTCAGGAGCAGTGCCAGAGACGTTTTTATATCTGCTTAATGCTGAGTATGTACACTCCTAGTGACCCTGCACACGAATTCATAGCAGACTGATTAACAGCTCAGCATGGTTCAAGCTCATGATCTCTTCCAGAAGATGCTGTTCAACTCTAGACAGTGATTTTTATTATCATCCCCACCATTTCACAGCCAGCAGACAAATGCAGCTATATTGCTATTTTGGACCAACTACTGCCTTCATAGCCAGTGGCACTAGGGGAAACCCAGAAACATTCCATTTCTGTTTTCAGAAATACTAGTCACTAACTGGGTTTTAAATGAGAGTAGCAGTTAGACCTTCTTTTTTTCACATGAAACTACATTTGTGGTATTTTCCTAATTAGGTGATATTTGATGCAAAATACATACCAAATAGCTCCAAAAATCTCTTTTTTCCCCTTGCTATTCATAAGACAAACTATTTGTTCAGCCCACTCAAAACATCACTACCGCTGTAAAGCTCGTACATAACCATTTCTATTTACCATTTCTGCTGGTACATAGAGATAGTGTCAGTGAGGTCGGGGAGGTGTATCTGCACATACCTTCTGTCTGTAGGATACAGCTCCACAGTAATGACATCTAGAGAGTTCCACGCTGAGATGGTGAGGCCGTTGTAGAGACACAGCATACCTATCATCATGGATTCACTGGTCCCAAACCACAGGAAAAAACAGCTGATGCCAGAGAGAACCATGGAACCACCTAGATACAAGACAGGTGAAACAAACATGAAGTGGAGCTGTATTTAAAGAATGATCTTCGTTTTGTCTAATGTTTCTACACAGCGTAGCTAAATAACTGACCCATATACTGAAGTTAAAAACTAAAGAGACCTCCTCTGCTGGTAAGACCAGTCAGGCAGACAAATGTTGTAAGGGGCTCATAGGAAAAAAAAAAAAGCATAACTCCTGAAATATTAGGATATATTATAAAGTATTAAACTGGAACACTCTCTTAAGTCCCAAAGCAAGCTGCTTGGGGAAAACTATTCCCATTCTTCCTTGTTCATCATCTTCTGCAATTACATGAAACCTGTTCATGTATTGTAGCAATAAAAACACTGAGTGGGAATTGCATTTATATAGAGATATTCTCCTAGAAAAATAACACAATGAACTACATCACATAGTTATTTAAGTAAATTGAAAACAGATTTGTCATTGCAGATAATCCACAGGAGATGTCTTTCAACTGTCTTACTTTGCAAAATAAGTAATAGGTAAAGGACTGCTGACTCTTCTGAGGAGCTGCTCCACTAGCTGAGAATCACCTGTGCACATCCTGCTTTCCTTTCAGCTGGAGCAAAGACAAACCAATGCTCAGCACTCTCCAAAATCTCATCACAAATGCCTAAATAACAGTCTTGTAATATCAGCATGGAAGAGCAATGACTGATAATGTGGCCTAGCAGAACTCGTTACGGAACCCTTTGCTCTTAGAGTTTCTAAATTGGAGGCTTTTTAAAACGGCACTCATGATGCTGCATAAATGAAGTATCTGCAGAAGGAGTGTTTTGCATGTCTCTGAACCAAATCCTTTAAAAAGAGAGCATGTTAATTAATTGGGAAATCTTTAGGTTTTGGTGGTGTTCCCCATTTTAAAGTGAAGCCCCTACCTAGCATCGTTAACCGTCCAATTCTATCCATCAGGAGAGCAGACACAATATTCCCTGGTAACACTGCCAAAGTTCCCAGGAAATTAACAAAGTAAATCCAGTAGGCGCTGTAGTCATCATCGAAAGAAATCTGGCATCCTGTCCTGATATGGAAAAATGTGCAATTTATCAATTCGCTGTCAACAAATTTATATTGCTCGAGATCTGTGGAAAGAAGAAAAAGAAACATTTCAGCTAACAGATGACTCCACGTGCAACTTCTGATTAAAAACATTTCAAGTTTAGGCAACTTAGGAGATTTCACTGCCTCATATAATAGGACTAGTTATTGCTGGTAATTTTGATACCTTTTTATCTTAATAGAAACATATGCAAAGCTCATGAAAAAGAGCAGCTAAGGCCTGGAATTAGGCAAGTTATATTAATGTATTTCAGCTCTGCTTGGACTGTATTTGGTTAAGGCCTTTCAGCACCAGCTGGTCTTGCATAAAAAACACTGGGTATCTGCAAACTTCTATCACTCAGTCTTGCTCAGTATAAGACCTATTTCCACACCAGACAGCCTTTCAGACAAGACTGCTGATCATGCTCCTGACTTTCTTTAAAGAGAAATGTTCCTGCAGAATTCAGATTAAACTAGTTTTCATGTCTGAGAAGGCCTTGTCATCTTCAGCGTGAACACAGATGAGTTACTACATAAAACTGTTCAGGCCATTCTTCTTCTAATACCATTTTGGAGATGTCTCCCTATACTTCTACTATCTTTCTGTTCCTCCTGTCAGCTTTACAATGCTGAATCAAGAATACCTTCCAGGCAAAGAAAGCTGGGTATTGTTTGCTCTGAAACCTAACTGTATTACTATTATGAATGGTGGAGTTACAGGAAAGCAGTAAGAAGTGCCCCCTTTTTCCAACAAGCTTAGTTGGCCATGTTCTGCTTTCAGTTATGTTTTACTAAACTGAAAAAAAAAAAAGGAGTTCTCTGTTTAAACATATGGAAATACGCATCCCTATTTTTTGTTAGAATATTTAGGAGAATGGAAATTATTATAGATTAGGTAGTTTGAATGCTGAACTCAGATTTCCATGCCACAGCAAGCACAATGAACAAAGTATTTCAGCAGTCCCATTTAGACTGAATAAAAATACACTAGTTAAAGCTACCAGTAAAGCAGTAAATATGTATTCTTCTCTCCAGACTGAATCTCTTTAGAGATGATGAAAATCAAAGAGAAGTTTATTATCTGAGGCAATATTACGCCTGTGGTATCTCTAGTGTGGGTGTGATCCTTTCACTTTTCTGTTATAACATTATGGACACCCATTGCTTATTATAGCTTTTTATTCCCTACAACA